CACATGGCTGTTTTATGTATTTATCTTCCTTTCAGCTCTCTTCTGTCTATTTTTATCTTTCTCTATCCCTCCATCGCCCATCCCTTGATTCAGGACTGTGATTCAGTACATAAAAGGAACAGGAAAACAGCTACAGATGTCCCAGAAGAAATCGCTGGACATTTCTGAGTAAACACCAAGGAGCAACCTTCAGAGGTGGAAAACAAAGACAACGTAGAAATAACAAAAACTGCAGTTCCTCCATGTGCCGCTTAAAGCTGGCTTCAAAAAAACAAAGTTGATCCGCACAGAATGAAACTGCAGACTCTTCTTGCTGTTTTTCTTTCACTTAAGTGCTGCACAGCACTCTAAATTATCTATAATGCCATTTACCTCTTTAAACTATGAACTGCTTGCATTTCAAAACCAACGACACTTAAACCTGTTATGCTTTCATCATTTGTCCTATTCATTGACAAAACCACTTTTCTGTGAGGTGTTTGTACTCACCTGCTCCATAAACAACAGAGTACACAACGCGCTTGGCATGCTCTCTGTCCTCAGATGTCACCTCTTTCTCACTCAACCCCTTCCTGAGAGACAGATTCAGAGAGAGCGAGAGATGCATTATTCCATTAGTGACAAAAATTTCACTAATATTTTATCCATTTTCACTGCTGTGGAAGTGAAGAGTTATGATTTAAAGTCCACTGAAAACACCAAAGTGATACTTGCTTTTAAAGAAAAACTGATGTTGCAATGAAATAAGACTTTTTGTTTTAAAGACAAGTAAGAAAATGAAGTCTTTGGCTGACAAGTATTAAACATTTATAAATGAAAAGATGGCTACGACTAACGAGGGATGTGGGGTAAGATTTCTGTCACCAAACAGAGATTAAATATTGTTCAAGCTGATTGAGGTGTTATTGGCAGCAATAACACTCGGCAGAGAAAGTGAAAAGACAGAAAGAGTAAGGGCAAAGATAAAAGCGAGAAAAAGCCCATCAGGCAACAGATTATAAGAGCAAGAAAGAGAAGCACAGTGTGAGATGTAGATGTTAAAGCCGCATAAATACAGAAAAGAACAGAGGCTGCAGGAGAGGGGAAGACAGACAGTTATGTAATGTGACTTGCAGACAGCCGTAGTACTGGGGATCAGACTGGGTGGGATGACACGTCTGCAAAGTGGCATTTCTGGAGGGGCTGACAGGGAGCTGCCACAGCTGATCAGTGTTGAAGGAGTGCCCCACACATACCCACACTACAAGTCTGGTGAGCTTCAGTGCCAGCCTTGCATAATGACATGTGACTTCTTAGATATGATGACAGTACACTAAAATACCTCTCTGCTGTTTTCTCTCTGTGGCACACACACATGCACAGATATTTATCTGTTAAATGACATGTGTGGGTAAATGGGGGTAACCTATGAGGTCCAAAAGTGAGCATTATCCTCCAATGACATCTGGCTGAAGAAAAAGCTATTCTGGATTTTCATTGCCCCCTGCTGGAGTGGCATCAATGCACTGAGTAAAAAAAAACTGCAAAAATAAGTGCCTTTAATTTGTTGCAAGGCTAAACAACAAGCAGAGCAGCAAGTTGTCCTCTTAAAGAAGAAGTCCACATGATATTCAATCAATTCCTTTTGTAATATGACAAAAACAAAAACAAAAAAAAGTCCGGTAACAGCTCTAATCAGAGAAAGCAGAGGAACATTACTGTGCTTTAGCTGAATGGTGGCTGAGGCGAGGGTGAAATTTGACCAAATATAAGTAAAAATGAGTGACAGAAAAGAAAAGAGCATAACAACAACAGGAGCAACAGATATACATACACACCACAGTAAAAGCTGAGGGACAACTGGATGAGCAGAAGACTAATGATGCGATAGAAAGAGGAAGAGGTCTATAAGAGAAAGACACCGAGGTGGCGTAATCCCAGCGGTGCTGCGGTGACTCCAGTTAATTTGTTTAAAGGTGAAAGAGAGATAATGAAAGAGACACGCTGCAAAGCCTCAGAGGAGCAGTTAATATGGTAATCTGTTTAACCGGCGCCCTCTGACACACACCTGTCAGAGATGGATGACAGGAGTGTAGGTATGACACACACCATACACACATCATCAAAGAGACAGCACAGACCTGCACCAACACTCACACACACACACACACAAACTTCAAAAGCCCAACAATGTAATCAGCAGGATGACCATCCCTGAGGTGTCCTGCCCAGTGAAGAGAGACAGAAAAAGGCCGTTGGCATGGTAGTCATGGCAACC